CTTCTACCAGGAGCATTTTTCAATTGTGACCTTTATTCCATGAGGGACTATCCTTCTGTGAGGGACAGCATTCTACAAGGGGCATCTTTCTATTTGGAACTTTAGTCCACAAGGAACCTCATTCCACCATATTGTTATTCCTGAACAGGAACAGATTCCACGTGGAACAACATTCTAATGGGAGCATCTTTCTACTGTATTGGAAACATTGATGCATACAATATCTTCCATGGGGACCATTATTCCACCTATGTAGGTGTGTGTGCGTGCATGTGTTCTCACCCTCGAGCCGGAGCGAGGCCATCCTCTGGAACTCGGGCTCCTGCAGCCATCGAGACATCCTTTTGAAGGTTTCGCGTCCGGATTTGAGCTTGGCCCAGGGTTTGGGGTTCCTCAGGAGATCGGAGAGCGTCCCCTGCGAGCGGCACAGAATGCGCTCGGCGAAGATGGCCTGCGGGATGCTGTAGCGCTTCAGTTCCGTGATGATCCTCTGGGCTACGTCACGCGTGTTGATCTCTTCGCCACCGCCGCCGCCGCTTCCGCCTGGGGACCCGCCACCCAAGGCGCCGTCCCCCGGGGAGGACGTTAGGGAATGCAGGTGGTCCGCAATCTTGGCAGCCTGCTGGCCGGGGTGGTGGTGCGCCTGGTAGTGCTGGCTGTAGATGTGAGAGTGATGGGCCGGCCCGTCCATTTTGTTCAGCTGGTGCCCCATGGACATGTCGCCGGCACCCAATCCCGGGGGCGACATCTCTCGCCCAAAGTCCGAGGTCCTGCAGAAGAGGCTCCCGCCGTGGACGTCGTAGCCACCGTGGAGCATCTGTCCGGCGCCGCCCCCTCCGCCCCCGCCATTGGGACTTCCATAGCTGTGCATGGACCCCAAACCCGAGGAGGGCGGCGTCAGACTCTGGCTCATGGCGAGATCTTTGGCGTAGGGGTTGTAGAAGTTGGCGGAGAGGCCGGCTCGCTCCTCGCGCATCAGCGTGAAACTCCCGATGACGTTGCTGACAGGGAGGCAGGGGTGGTGGTGGTGGTGGTGGTGATGGAACTTGTCATCGAAGGGCTGCAAAGGGGTCAGCGTGGTGTAGGTGCTGCCCGACCCGGACGGGGAGTCGCCGCTGTAGCCCAGCGCCGACATGGCGTGCTCGAAGGGCGGCGGAGGGGCCCGAGGCTCGGGTTCCAGAGGGGGGCCGGCGCTCAGTGGGGGACGGGGGAAGGCGGCCGAGAGGTCCCGCGAGTGCAGCTCGGCGTGGCCGTGCAGCGACATCTCTCCCAGACTCCCGTCCATCGCGGATGGATTTATCGATGAGTCCGAATGGATTGATTTCTGGCGGCTAATTAATGATGTGAGCGCCGTTAAGTACTTCCTCGCACTCCCACGCCACCCACTGGAGGACGGACCCTCTTCTTCTTCTTCTTTTTCAAGCCTCCTTTTGTGCCTGCACGAGACAACAGGACAGTTAGGTGTTGCAAAAAGCAAACGGCATTCAGGCCAAATTCTTGTTTTTGATCATTCTTACACTTGGGTGGATGTGTTTTTTTGGTTTTTTTTGAAAGATGCATGGGCAACTTTGAAGTTGCTTGACTGGAACTTGTTCAACAAGGTCAAACCGATCAATCAAGCAAGCAATGACTTATTTTTAAAAACCACGACTGCTAAAAGTGAGAAGGCAAATCGTTTCGGATTTGGGGGTTTTGGGGTGACCTGTGTCCCTGTATCCCACTGAACACTGGTGTCAAACTCAAGGCCCGGGGGCCAG